CCATACAAAAGCCATACCATCCTGGTCTTCGTATCTTTGATTAATTTCTTTATTGTTTTTTTCCACGAATGTTCTGGCTTTCATGAGCATCTATAATTATTTCTCTGTCTGTTTGCTTCAAGCCAATTGCATTCTCGATAGACCTTGTGGGGCCGTCAACTGGTATCCCATTTGCTGGAGATCTCTCCACGCCTACCGCCTCCGGTTGTCCTTCAACAGCAGCCGATCCTCCTTTTGCCATTCCTCTACCTCCACCTCCACCATCTCGTCGACGCCATGGTGATACTGGCAAACTTATTTCTCAGCGCCAGCCCCGTACACAATCGGCTTTATTATCAGCGTCTTTCAATCGGTCAGCTCAGACGCCATTTTTATCAACTATCAGCCAGAAAAATAGACTTCAGCGAAATCAGCCGCAGACTCACGTACAACCCAGAGATGCCAGATTAGTGAACACTACCCCGAGCTTAGTCACGTCAACAAACTCTGTAAGTTAAATTGTATCCACTCATCAGGGTTTTAATTTAATACATGCGCACTACTTTTTATTTACATGGATAACATGAATCTTCTTAGGGCATCTCATTTTTTTGACTACTACTCTAGGGCTATTTGATTTTTATTAAAATGTCGATTTCTAAGCGCTGTGGGATCGGATATTTTTACAAATAACTATTTGAACTTGAATCACTGCTCAATCGACTCTAGACTACACGCCTTGTCAAAATCTTCGTGCTAAAGAATGGGAAGTTTATGAGGATATAGGATAGGCGAATGTACGTGTTATAGCTTGGTCTCAAGGATAGGAAGGCTGAATGATGATGTCGATTACGTTATCGGCTAATTCTGTGGGATTGTAACAAGTCTACTGCCCGATGCTCAAAATTATCATGACTAATTTGTCCAAGTACTCCGGATGAATTGACTTTATCTTTGTTGCCCTGACGATACGATAAAGTTGTGAAAATGAGGCCAAAGGAGTCTACTGAAATTGAGTCCTCTTTATCGCTGTCTTTATATCTAATATTTTTATGCTTTGTCTATAAATTGTGGAAACTTCTATGTTTAACTTCAATTCGCGTCTTAGATTTATTTGATTTTTTTATTAAGGAATTCATGTAGGGGTGGGTGTTAAATTTGATTATATGGGTGGGTGAATTTTTAGAGTCTTAATATTTGGTTACCTTTATGAACTCCTATGGGCCCGAGTGCTCAATCAACACTGTCGGCTTGAATGTGAACTGCGCTAGGTGACTATTTCATCTTTATCATGTACAATGTTCGTGTGATGACTCACAAGAGGTAAGCGAGGCACTACGTGTTGACTTTGTCAAGTTACGCACTATTTCGTTTATTTTTCATTTCAAATTGAATATGCTCCACATTTTGGCCGGCAAATTCAGCTTACCTAAACTAGTAGAGGCTTCATCGATGAAGGCTCTTTCTAATCAATATTTTTGAAAGGAAATATATTTATGCGAGGACAATTATGATATATGTTTATTTTTAGTTCGAGTTGTTTTTAATAAATCTAATTCGATATAGGTCTAATTATTTTTATTTTGTCTTGCATTCAATATTATTATCAAACTTTTTTCAGCATCTTATCTCTGCTAGTCCTCTTTCTTATCATTCTATTTCACCATATTTTTAGCTGGAAGCCGCAAGCTCGCATCATGGTCGGATGATTCGGCATCCTTTGAAGGATGCCACTGCTTCTCGTGGAAATCGATGAACTATCTTTTTAACGCATTGGCCAAACTTAATCTTTCCCGTCTCATTTCTGTATTTTTTTATGCCACTGCTTCATTCTTATTCTACTTCGTCGTTCGATTCCTCTCCTATTTGCATCTTAAGGGCCATACACGCCCTTTATCCTACCTCTGTTTTGGTGCACTTGCCTATGAATGAAGTCTCTCCTTTGTAACCATTTCTTCTATCCAACTGCATATATTTCTATGATTTCATACTTAAAGCAACTTTCAGCCCCGGTTACTACTGCTCATTGCCACTATTTAAAGCCTCTTTCTCATTAAGTCTCATCGAACCTAATTTTCATTATGCACACACGAATGCATACATTTGTATATTATTGAAGCAATAGTTGATTTTCAATTCCCCAGCTTGAAAAATAAATTCGTATTTTCTTATCTTCCGACTTCTTTCCACATTTTTGCTTTGAGTTGAAGCAATTTTGGCTAGGCATTATCGTGCCAACCAATTCCCTCCCTTCACTATGCTTTCCTAATTTATCGGTCGGAACATTTGCTCATCATCCTACTTATTAAGTAGCAATGTCATGTACGTCTTCTTTTG